ACTTTTTTAGATGACCCTATTGTGCCTCACAATAGTAATGCTTTGGATGTGTGGAAATCCATGAAATTTTTTAACTATAATTTATGTGAACTTGCCATGAAGTGGCTTTGCATTCCTGCCACTTCAGTTCCAGCAGAAAGATTATTTTCCAAAGCTGGAAATACTATCAACAAAAAGCGGAGTTCTTTAAAGCCAAAGAATGTACATAAACTTCTAGTTTTAAATTCATTATCAATTGAAGAACTGTATGCATTGGAACTGTAATTGAACTATACAAGTTGAAAATAAAATTAAGTTTTGTTTTTTTTAAACTGTTTGAGTTTATCTTGATTGAACATCGATGTTCCAATGGGCATCGATCAAACATCGATGTGAAATCCGACATCGAAATTTAGCATCGATGCTTAGGCAAACATCGATGTTAAAATTATAGACATCGCACAGCACTAATATGGATTGATGACAGGATTGATTGACCAATCAGCGCTTCGTAGCTCTGTCGGAGGTCCGCAGGTGGTCCGATGCTCGGCGGCCAATCAGCGATCTCGCATTCAAAACCACTGGTCGTTTTTCCAACCGACTTCTGCAGCGTCGACTAGTTTGAAATAAAATAAAAAACAACAATAAAAAGGCGGGAATTGTATGTCCAGACGATTCTAATCCCGACATGTAGTATACGTTTGGGTTATATCGAAATAAAATTCATTCGGAATCACAAAATATTAATAACATTTTCAATAGTTACTCCAAATTTTATTCATATTAAAATGTTATAAATGTTTAGGAGTTCGTTTCAACTCTTCGCCCTGTGATCACTAAGAGTTTTTAATAACCGTCATGGATTCCGACAGTTGAAGTGAGCATCCGGTAATCTCTTGTAATTCGGTTTATTACCACAAGAACCAGCATACTATAACTAGTCAACAGCCTGATTTTAAGTCCTAAGCATCGGAAGGCCTTTACCATATTTGCTTAAAGTTTGTAGACAGTGCTATTACAAGGGACGGATGGGCGAGCGGTCAAGGTGGCAGCCTACCGGGGGATCGAATCCGGACGGGTGAAGGAATCCCCAGGAATCTTTCGGGGGGTGGTCCGTTCAGATATGTCGGGGCCCCGTCCCTCACCACCCGGCCGCCCCACTGTGGGCCTGGCCGAACCCATAATGAGCCTGCTATAAGAGGCCCTCTTAATGCCCACAGGGCGGAAAGAGTATAAAAAAAGCGCTATCACAAGAACATACCAATATAGTGCACACTGTACAGTATGGACATTGTGTAAGGAAAGAGAAAGGATTGTTAGATTATTTGAAAATGGCAAAAGTTATACTCGAAAGCTTTTGCCTAGTTTACATTAGAGATAAATGGAAGTATAGCTATAGGTTTATAATTTGTTAATAGCAAAATACCGTGGTTGACAAAGATTTATGAATACGAAAAACTATCGTAGACGAAAAAGCAATTAAATATATATCATGACATTTATAAACGCTTTTATTTTTTTCTTGTATGACCTTTTAAATACTGGAATTTAAAAGCATGGAGACAGTTATTTTATATCCGTTACAAATTGAATATTTAACGGATTTTCCGTTATAACCCGTTGCTATAGTTTTCCTTCACGTCCGCTCCGGTGGCGTGATGCTTTGCCTCCTTCTGGATAGCGCCAACCGTCTCCTTTTACCACGCATGTGCCAACATTCAAATTTGACCAATCGTGTTGTTACACGATTCTCCTTGACTCGGATAATGTTTTAAAAATGTTCAAACTATCCAATAGCATTAAAGAAGAAATTCAACGGACGTTTAAAAACGAGAATCTTGTCTTTCTGAAAATCATCGTCCAATAAGAGTATTAGAATATACCGTTTATGACCAATCAGAAAACGAGACCGGCTATAAATTTGCTTGGATTCTCAAATTCGTTAAAATCTTCACTAGGAGAGGAAGGATGCTAGTCAGTCTTTCGTTCCGGTTTTTTAATACCGAATTTTGATAAGTTACATTTTAATTATAATTGTTTTTAATTTAATTTTAAAGCTAGAAACAAAAGTTATATTTTTCTATACTGTAGTTTTCTTTTTTAATTTTAAATTTCTAAATCTTCTGAGGTAATGATTTAAAAGATATTTTAAATTTTAGACTGAAAACACCCAAATATGGAAACCCAACAATTTTATTTTAAATGGAATTGATGGACGAAGTGCTTGAAACAAATAAATCTGGTCCCTGAAGAATTAATAGTGGAAACTGCTTCCACTTCGCAACCAAAGAAAAAACGGAGAAGGAAGAATATAAACCGCAACTGTACCCAGCAGAAAATAATTAAATATGCAATTAACACTTTATCACTCGCTGGAAGAATAGCTCCTCGAATGAGTCTGACGATGCCGACGAGATTCCACCTAAAGCTCCGAGTCAATATCATCGCACAGTTACATCCGACCCAACAACATTCGATACGACATCCACATCTACACCTATTGCCGGAAGATTCTACAACCCAGCATCTTTCTCTTCAATATTCGACTTCAAATTTGGATATTTGGTAACTGATTTATTCAATAAATAAAATAATTTTATATATTATTTTAAATTAAATGTTAAAATTTTTCTAAAACTTGCAGCGTGGTCGAGTCACTCTACAATCCTCAAGAAGAAACAGCAATGTCCGAGCCATCACGAGCCAGTATCATGATTTGAATTTGTCGGAATCAAATAATTTTAAAGGTAAGACATTTTTGTATGTTGCTTTCTATACAGAACCGAGAGGTCTGATGCAGAATTTAATCTGTGTGACAAGATCGAAATTTCTTCCCTTACAACTGAAGTATCATACTTGTTTCGTGAAATCTTCATTCGCACAATTGAAAACAAATAATATTATTTTTTAATATTCGGTCTCTTAATGTCTCATCAGGCCTCTCCATTTTGTTCCCATTTGCTTAATATAATTGATGCATTTTTCTTAATATTAAAGTATTCCCATTTTATATTTTCGTTTTATTTGTTAATTTATCTAATATTTTCGTTTTAAATGTTTAAAGCTGATTTGGATATTTATTTATAGAATAATCAAAAATGTTAATATTAATAAGTCTTATTAAATATAGGCATGGTGATTTTTTTATATTTAAAAATCAGTGATGTAAATATTTTTGTAAAATTAGACTAACATCTTGATGTATACAAATTAAATATGTAAGAATTGTTATGTATGTATATATTTAGTAATTTTTTTGTATGTAAATATCATGGAAACTGTCAAAATAAACGAGTTTTCTTTGTATTTTTATAGTTTTTGTTTTAAAAATATATTTTTAAAAATTATAGTTTTTATTTTATTCCCGAATTTCATCGTTTCATTTGTGGTCGGTCATAATTATTTTTAACAAACGTAGAAAATTAAGAGGCGGTTAATCGTAGAAAATTATGAAGGCGGTTAAACCCCTTTGGCATTGTATCCAGTGGCGTACCGTAGTGGGGGCGGCAAAATTTCACAATAAATAATAAAATCTTGTAAAAATTTTGAAACATCCTAATCTATATATGCATCGCGCCTACGATAGTGCTATCGTCCGGGAATCGGCTCGCCGTCGAGGTGAACTAGTAATTTTTTTATCCAAGGAAATCTTCCGAAACTTGTTAGCTTTTTTTTGCTTGTACGATTCATTCGCGTTCATATACACCACTAATATCCAATGGAACTATTTTAAACAGATCGTTGCACTACCACCGAATTTTTCATTGTTTGTTCTGTGACAAAACTGAATTTTGGTCTTTTAAATTGAAATACCTAAATAAGAGGGCCGAAATTTTCCTCCGTCCCGGGCGGCTGACACTCCCGGTACGCCACTGATTCTATCCTACCGATCTCCTTTCAAATAACGTTAGGTAGTCGAAGCCCAACACGTTCGTGAGATCCAAATTTAAATCAAATTTACTACTACATGAACTGTAACAAACGAAACTATACTTGGTCAGAGCAACCGTATCGTACACTGTACAGTACAGTATATTCATACTCATCGGCGACAAGGCAGCAAACTTTCGCGCACTTTTTACAATGTTGCCAGCGTTCTGAATCTGACGGCGGCAGTCCACAAGTCGTCACAATTCCTTATACCGATACGATATAAGGAATTCCAGAAATTTTTCATGAAGTCTCTTTGTCCCTTATTATTCGATAGCCCTCATTGTCAGCTTGGCCAAAACACATAATAGACATGAGATAAGCTAGCTCTCGTATCCACAGGATGAAAGTGCCAGGATGACGGAATTCTCGGGAAAATTTATCATAGTGTGCTACTGTTAAAAGATTTTATTTAAAAATCTATATATATGAGGGTGTATATATATTTGTTCGCTATGCACTAAGCCATTCGACCAATTGGTACAAAACTCGTCAGTTAAACATGCATCTAACTTAGATAATGGTGTACAACCACCCCTAGAGGCCGGATGGCCGAGCGGTCAAGGTGGAAGCCCACCGCTCTGGGGGACCCGGGATCGGAATAGAATCCGGACGGGTCAAGGAATCCCCAGGAATCTTTCGGGGGGTGGTCCGTTCGGATATGTCGGGCCCCGTCTCTCACCACCCGGTCTCCCCATTGTGGGTCTGGCCGAACCCATAATGGGCCTGCTATAAGATGCCTTCTTAGTGCCCACAGGGTGAAAAGAGTATTAAAAAAAACACATACTACCTTAAAATATTGATTGGTTTTCTATATTAATTTCTGTCTATATTCAGTTTGCAGACTTTACATGTAGCGTTATCTATTAGCAAAATTTAAAAAACTAATAAACAATATAATTCAAACTAAAAAAGATATATGTAATTATATTCTAAATTATATCTTTACTTAATTACTGCGACAATGATATAGCGCGAAGTAGACACGCTATATCGTTACTGCGATGGGGTACTCACCTTCATGGAGTCGAAAGTATTAAGGATTCATTGCTTTCCACCCAGGATGGTTTACCTCGCTGTCTCTTGCTTCTCCAGTTTTCTTTATCAGAAGATTCAGTACTTTGACTTGATAAAAGTTTCGTCGATTCTTTTCTCCTTTATCACATTCACTCCAATCGTTGCTCCCTTCCTCCAGAAGAAGACGCCGTGACTATTTCTTCAGTTATGATTTGATTTCCTTCGGTTCCTTCACCTCAGACAAGAATTGGACCAACCTGATCTCGGAAGTTACTCTCAAGGAAAGTCAAATTCCACATTACCACTGCGCGGATTGTAGATAACTTCTGGTTTGAACAGGGGCGGATCTACATAGGGACTAATAGGGCTTAAGCCTTGGGCCCTTGAGTGTCTGTTTAGTTATGGCAACGCAACACTTGGGCAATCTGCCTGGGGATGTCTTCCGAGAGGTCTTTTTAAGGGAAACTGGCTCCTATTTAGGCGTTACAGACGTGGAGAAAACCCGGAAAACTCCACGTGGCCAGCCCGTTCGAGCTGGGCCCGAACCCACGACCGAACGCCCGGTGTTCAGGGAACGAAGACCGCCTGGCCACTGGTGGGCCTTTCAATTAATATGTTAAAACGTTGCTTACTGATGCGCCCAAATTGCGCAGGTAATTTATCTCAAATTTTTTTTGCGTCATTGCACATCAACACAAGCTCAGCAACTGGTTTACTTAGTGTACTTGCCATCAAACTTCCACCCTCACGTCATCTTGCCACTCGACATATGTTTCTTTTTGTTCATTTGTTGGCTCTGTTGCTAACTCAACACGTACTGTACACGCTTATCGTTAATAATGTCTTCTAATCCGTATGAACGCAACACCACAGTTCTCGTTCGCACGTATTCAACCGAGTATAACTTCAGCAGCACACCAAAACTGTCTCTTTCATTCAAAACTGTACTTTTCTTATCTTCATGTGGACTGGGCCCATAATCTATGGACCGTTCGATGCGCGCCCTCAAAAGTGTGCCGGCAGAGAAAGAACTACGATGGCACTCACGTGCCAAACTACTCACGTGTACGCACCTTTCGAACTAAAAATCACTGTTCTCTAAGTTGAAATTTGGACTTTTAACACTACAAAAATATTTGGGGGATGTTTGAAAAGTTCGCTCTTCTTCACTACCGTAATTACTTTTTATTGAAATGAAGAGTTTTACACGTGGACTTCACAAGAAAACAACACGACTGACTTGCATGCAGTAGATTACAAAAAAGAGCGTTAATTAATTAACTCTTCTACTGTGCGAAAGAGGTCGTCTTGTCATAGTTTTTCTTTTTATTATAACAGTAATCAATTGATGAACAATAAGAGTCTGTGATTTTGTAACTTATTCAAAGCGACATAATGTAATTTATCTCCAAAATAACAAGATTTATAAAGTTCATTTAAGTTATGTGCGCTCATATGATGATAATCGTCTATTGGTTATAGTGCTGTGAGATTTAAATAATAGTACAGTACATACAGGTTTTTTTTCCTACTGCAGAATGGCATGGTTAGTCATTACCAATGCAAAAACCTGAAAATTAAGGTGTTGTAACTGTAGATAAATGATCTAGACTCTTTAAGAGTTGGTGTTGTATTAATTTTGATTCTCCACTAACACCTAATCTCAATGTATATTTTCAACCAATCCCATGCAGTCTTTCTTGGTATTGAAATTTATATGAACAGCAGTGTAAATATCCAATTAATAGATTGTTATTCTACTTTAATGTGCTACAGTACGTTACTTTATATTATTTTTAATACAATATTTATAAATTAAATATTGTATTAAAAATTTATGTATTTTGATAAATATATTTTTTCGAACCTTTAACAATATCCATCAAAATACATAATTTTTTATTAAAAAGTTGAAGTTTTATGTAATAAATTATTTTTTAACTTGTATATTACAGCCATTAATTTATATCTTTACTGTAATCCTTAATTTATGCCCATAAACATATGATAATGTGAAAAATTTTTACCTGGTCTACAAATGAGATTTAGTATTAGGTAAGTTTCCTACAAGATTTTGATTTTTGAATAGTAAAAAAGTTTTAGATTGCTAATCTAAATGAAAGTATTTTACACAAAGTCACATAAAGTGGTGTAATGTGATCAGTTATAATGAATTCAAATACATATTTCTGAGTTCTGTGTATTAGAAATAAATTTCTATCTCAATTACAATATTACAAACGTTTTTGATTTTTGAATAAAACAAAACACAAATGTAATTTCCTGAAACTTTATTGCTTACGTCATTCACAGTGAAAAATATAAAGTGGCGATGTCGATATATATCGAATTCAACATCATAAATACTTGGGATGCAGCCATCGCTGAATGGCTATTTACTGGTTTGTACATATATTTACAAGGCAAGTTAACGATGGCTCGACTGGCAACATATTGTCCACGAGGACACACAACTTGTCCAAAGACACAAAATTTACAGCGATAGAACAAAACAAACATATTCTTCAAATTACATATATGCCGATGTAAATAAAAATGGCAAGCGATCCATCAATAGTGAACAAAAAGCTTGTCGGAAGCGTATGTTACTGAACGATTCTTTTTTTTACTTTGATATCTTTAAAAATTCCTAAATGTACAAAATGTTTCAATTTTATCCGTGAAAATGTTCTGCTTACAATATACAGTATATATATGCTAACTTTTTAAAATTTTCACTATTGATGTATCACCAAAAGTAAAATTATATATGAAAACAAATACTATAAATTTGACTTCTCAATGGATGAGCTGCAATTGCAATGTTCACCCAACAACAAGGCAATAGAGGACATGCCAGATAATTAGATTCACAACGGCACTGGAAACAGTAATGTGATGATGATGATGAGAATGTTTAAGTTTTGGAAATCCAAGAGAAATCTACCCTTGTTTGGATTATTGTTACATATTGTAGAAGCACTGATTTGGTTGATCAAAGACACTGATGTAACAATACAAAAGTGGCAAATAACCGATAGTTGAGGAAAGTAACACAAATGTTAAGCACCACTGTTCAAACACTCTACCACGGTGTGGTCCAAGTGTAGTTATAATTACCAGAGTTACTGAAATATGCAAGTTTCTGTTGGTTCCACAAACAATAACGGTCAAGATAGCTCCGGTTTGATTTTGTCTGGCACACACTTGAGATTTACATTAACAATTATAATTTTGTCATTTCTTTTATTATATTCTCTAACAATAGCATCCAACATACATCAACTTTATTGCATAGTAGTCAGTATTTCATGACTGTTCACCCTGATAATTGGAAACAAGAATGTCCCAGAGATTTTGTTTGAGGCAAACTTTATTGTAATTAGTTAATTTGTCCCATTACTATACTTTAACAATCACTGTCTTGTATTTTATCTGTACATGGAGGAAACATCTTCACCTGCAACTTCTTTGGACATTCCTTGGCACTGAGTTTACTTGGACTTATGGGTAAACAACTAACCCATGTTAAAACCCTGCTGAACATCAGAACCAAGGATTAACAACTTGGTAGTTTGAGATACTAATGGAAGCCTTTTCGTGTTACTGAATGATATTGATCACGAAACTGGACTTCACTTTTTGTTGACTGAGCAAATGGTGGCAGTCGTCTGACTTACAGAATTTGATAGATGTCAAACATGGGTCGCTAGAGTTCCCGGTTTGAGGTGTGTTTGTGAATGCTGAGCAGTTATGTAACGATTCTGAGTAGTATTAGGACCGGGCGTAGTCGGACTCCCACTCCATGTAGTGACGTAAACACCCTGAGGTGGCGGTAAATTCGACTGGGAAGTTCGAAGATAGGGATTGGCATAACTGGCACGATAGCGAGGATCTATAGAATGACCCAGTTCATCCAATGACTGAGGTGAACTTCCATATAAACCACTGTCTCTGCTAGCATTTAAATGAACAGAAGGTGGATTGTAATCTCTTGAATAATCAACATAGGGAATGTATCCATTATTACTTTGAGTATCCTGAAAAATAAAAATTTTTTAAATTATTCATTTAGCAAAATTTAAATAGTTAACAATAAGTCAGAAATAAAATATTTATCTAGATAAATATTTACTTATAAATAAATAAGTCAGAAATAAAATATTTATCTAGATAAATATTTACTTATAAATAAATAAGTCAGAAATAAAATATTTATCTAGATAAATATTTACTTATAAATAAATAAGTCAGAAATAAAATATTTATCTAGATAAATATTTTATTTCTGACTTATTTATTTATAAGTATACTAGATAATGCCTAAAAGCAAGACTCAAGGAACTCTACACACCCTACAAGTCTTGGCATTTATGTGGTCTAAAATCTGGCATTTGAGTAAATGAGGTCTCTCATCTTCACTTTCCAGCAACAAATATGTTGACAACCTTTTGATTTTTTAAACCCACAGATTCATTGACAACCATGCAAATATCCTTACCTTGACATTTGACTGACCATAGTTTCCTCTAAATCAGTTTGTCCACAGCTGACCAAATATTTTCTAATAGTGGACTCAGTAGGTACAGATCTAACGTTTGTAGTTTTTGCCACCCAATTTCTAAACAGGTTGTCTGTAAACATGGTGTTCTATTTTACAAGTACCATTTCAGTATTTGATCTGAATTGGTCTCAGTTAAATGGAATGTTTCAGTTATTGTTTGAGAAAATCCTGGGACATTTGTTGAAGTCTCTGCAATATTCCTTGATGCAGGTGTAACTTTTACATGTAAATGTATTGCACTTTCTATGTACAAATCCAAAACAAACTTTTTTTACATGGCTTACAAAATCACTGCAAGATAACTGCCTTTACATTGTTAGTCCCAGTTTACTGTACTTTTAAAATCAGATGATGGTCGCTATGGTTATGTTAGTAGTTTTAAAGTTACAAAATGTTTCAAAGTTTAAATATGCTGATTGTTAACACAGCAATATAATTTTTTAATTCTACTTTTGTTATGAAAAGTTATAAATTTGAGAAACTCCTAATAACCTAATACAGTACCAATAAAATTTGTTTTCAAAATATTTTAATTTTTCCAAACTGTTCCCAATTACCCTTCACATCCTCAGTTTGAGAGCAGATGTTTATGAACTAAAAGTGCAAAAATTGATAATTAATAAACAATTTAAAATGTACTGTTTATCATTTTTCAATTTTCAGTTTAATAATTTTGATTGTGTAACAAAAAAATTAAATTCCAATTAAATTTTTTCTAGTTTATTATTGTTTTCAGTATCTCAGCATAAATAAGTGTAATTTACTAACAGCACTTGTTGAAAATAACTAAACCAATTTCAATTTCAATAACAAACCAAATCAATTTAAATAATTTTTTGATCCACTGGAAAAATATTATATTTGATGCTTACATGCCCAATGTGCCAAATTATGCTTTTTATGCCATTTGGAGACACATTCTATTTTATGATTTTATAACTACATTAACTTCAATAAGAGGTTATTCATATCTTAAAAAAGTAAACAGCCATACCTAACTTTTCATGTTATGCTTAAGTTATATTGATCATTAATTAAGGCAACTATTAACAATATATTTTTGAACTGTTGTTATTCTATATTATTTTTGTTTGTTTTTTCTCTATGATCTATATATCATTTATAGGATGAAAAATGCTTATATAAATATTATGACAAACACTATGAACATAATATTTAAGAAGTATAGTCTGAGTTTGTGTTGAAGAAACTTATATAAATTTAATAAAAACATTTTATTCGTTTCATAAAATATGTTAATAAGGAATATTTATGCACAAATGCAGGTTTAAGTTAGCACAGAATAGTAAGGATGATAAGTTTAAAATACTTACAGCTTTTGGTGGAAAAGTTGGTTCTGCATAATCAGCAGAATATTTATATATATCCTGTGTGTCATGTGTCCTTGTTGTATCACTCGTTTCCTCCCAGCTTCTTTCATGTTCATTGTTTGATAATGATGATGCTGTTCTAATTTCAGCTTTCAAATCAGAATCTCCAGAAGATGCAGAATCAGATTGTTTGGCTTTTTTCTCTGATCCAAAATCTTCATCTAGATTTTGTAATAGTAATAAAAAGAATTCAGTACAGATTATAGATCTGTATTTTATTTAGAAATAAATATACTTATACAGATTTTATTTTTCCTTAATTACTATTATTAATCACGTATTATTCTTTACTTTATTTATAAATAAAATTTAAAAAAATATATAATATTTTTATATTTTCATTTTCAGTAAAATCCCTTGAATTATAACTGTCAAAAATCTAAGAAATAAACTTGGATAAATTACCTTAGAATTAACGTAAGTAAATGTAACTACATGATATACATAAATATGAATAAGCCATCTGATATTGACCATTTCCAAATTCATATTAATAATTTGATAACAATTTACAGATTTTGAAATGCAGAGGAACATTGTTAATACATTTATTTACATCAATACAAAGTACAAAACATCATAATTGGCAATATGCTAAATTTTATGACAATGTATTAATTTATAAATTATTGTAAAATGGACATTTTTATTCAATTACCAATTTTTTATGTTTTCTTAATTGTAATCTCTGCATATAAATGTAGCCAACCTGATATTAACTTATATATTGCATAACTTTTGATTTGATACAAATATTATGATTAAACCCTTACAATTAAAATGAAACAAACTTCTGATAAACTCTTATAGTTTTGTTATCTCAAAGTATATTCTTTCTTGTCATTCAATTTACTTTATTTTCTCTTCTATTCAAATATATCTGATTATTCCATCTTTTTGAAGTGATAAGACAAAATATATATAAAAAGATTGGAGTAATGTCTCAAAATCAAGAAACTAAAAAGCTTTTTGATAAATTTTCTGAAATGATTTACTGACTTCTAAAGATTTTGAGTAACTAGTATTTTCTTACCCTTACTCTTTTAAAGAAGTTCAAATTTGTAAATTGCATCTCTAATTTCAAACTTCAGATATAAGTTGTTTCAGATACAATTAATAAGAAATTGTCATATTCTAGATAAACTAAAAATTCTTTTCTTTTCAGAATCACTAATGACAGAGTGATTTTGGAATTTGTTTTTAATGAATTTCTACATGTACTTTAATTTGTGTATGCTTTTGATGAAGTAAATTTCTAAATCTTCTAGCTAACACCTTTACTTGATTATCAGTTATGTAAATCCAAAATTATCACAAACAACATTAAAAAATATGACTAACTATCTTAATGATCAGATAATTTCAGATGAATAAACTGAACTTAATTGTTTCATTTTTTTTTCTGGTACTTTCCTTTCCTTTATTTCTGAATCTTCAATGCAAGATATTAAACTCAAACTATCATTAGCAAGCATATGATAGATGATTATATATTTTTGTATGTAACTTGCACATTTGAAATGCATTTCTGTTAATACACAAGTTATGACAAAATAGAAATAATGTTCTGTTAAATCATTACGAATTTCCTGTAGTAACTTGCATTGAATACTCAAAATAAAGAACTCAATTTTTTGAATTTTATAAATTGAAGTGATCAAATGTTACTTTTCTACAATTCTGTAATACATTTTACTCTGTAGATGAAAGATTGTTTGTGTTACCAAATACCAAAACTGTCATAAGTTGACAGTAGTCAAGTTTCAAACTTAGAAACAGTGACAGACAAAGTGAGTGAAACAATAGAACATAATTGACAGATGATTGATTACATAAAGCTGAGTGTGAAACAAAGGGCAACACTTCATGATGATAAATAAACACATAAAAACAATTAAAAAACATGAAAATGGGACAATGACAACAGCATAACAAATACACAGCAAGATGAATTAAAGTAGTTGGCTAGCTTTAGAATGTGATGGAGATTGTAGATTAGATGGTGAATTTGTATAATTTGACTATTGCAAAGAGGAAAAAATATTTCTCATTATCATCTCACAATCCAAGTAAATTCTTTAATGAATAATGAATTAAGAAAAATTTGATAATGATAGAATTAAAATTCTGTTCTTAATCTGAATGCATCTATCAACAGTGTGAAAAGATTTATGTATTGAAATTATCATCATAAAATATTTGCTGTCATTTATTAGATCAAATTGATAAATGTATATTTATTTGTCAATTTGATCCAAAATTACCAAAACCAAATATTGCCAGGTACTCTTTTTTTGGATTAGGATACTATATTAAATATATTAATCTGGCAATATTGGCTTACATATAAAATTTGTAAATTTCAAGCATTTTTATAAATTTTGTTTGTATTACTTTGAATACCATAAAGGGTCTTTGGACAGAAATATACCTAATCACTATAGCATGAATGTAACCTGTATGATATATACTAATTCTATATTACACATATATGTCTAGAGGTGAAGATTGGCTCAGAGCCTGGATAGCATAACTGATAACGTACCTGCCCGGCTTGCAGGAGTTGCGGGTTCAAATCCCGCTTCAGGTTGATCTTTTCTTCTAGATGTTTCTAAATTATTAAATTAAAATTAATTCTAATTATTAAGATACTTTCAAGATTGTGACACTTCCTACTTCTAGTCCAAATTTCGTAAGTAAATTAAAAGATTACTTTATTAATAGCCGAAAAAATCAGACAATATTTGGTATATAAACTTGGCACAGAAACAAAACATTTAAAGCAATTGTCTGCAATACAACACAAAGTTGCACACTATCCTATCATTTGATATCGAGACAGTGTGATAGTCCGGAAACAGATTTTCAGAATTTGGCTTTAGATCATTGGCAATTGTTAGTTGATACAATATAACCCAGAGTGTTTCTAAAATTACTAATGTCATAACAGCAATTTGAGCACATTTTTGTTAAGAGAATGATATTCAATGTCATGTTGTTCCTATTATGAAAGACTTACATTATCATACCAATATTGGATAGGATGCCCAATATTCAGATATTAATCTGGATAACTTTTGAAAATTTTGTGGGATAAATTAGATCATTAAATACATGAGAGAATCAAAAAATGAAAGTTGAATTAGTCAGTGATTTGAAGAATACTTAGTGGAAAGTTTTAGAAAACATATATACTGTGTAAAATGCTACCAGAGAATATTTTGCAGACAGTAGAGTTTGTAAGAGATACTAAAGATTTTAGCACTTCTAATAATATTCCAATAAATAAAGATTGTAGAAAAGCAAATGTCTAGATATTAATGATAGGATTGTGCACTTTTTGCAATTATCTCTCAATTTTATTTTTATCTGCTACAAAAGATATATTAAAGACTGCATTATATATTATATCAATAGGACCCAATCAATAATCATTTTGGTTTTGATTTGATACAAAGTATAAAAATTGAAGACACAAAGTTAAAATCTGTTTTTTCAATTTTTATCATATATCACTCAACTCAAAACCAAAAGTGATTTCAACAATATTGTTACATTGATATTACCAAATCAATTTTTCATTCTTAAGAGATAATTGCAAATGACAGAATAAAAACATTTGTAATATATTCTTAAAACTTTGTATAAACAATCAAGAAAGGCATTTAATAAGAATTTAAAAACATTAAAAAGCATCAGATTATTCTGTGCCAGTTAAGATGAATATGGAATGTACAGTACAAAAAACTCATTTGTATTCTATGCCACTTACCAAGGAAATTTTAAATACATAAAACTTTAGTCCATGCAAATAATATAGAAATCGGTATTTATTAGTAAAAGTAAAATAGGAAAATAGATTAATTATCAATATTAATCTCGTAATATATTATTCTGATTAAAACAAATAACAATTTTGTGCTTTCAAAATGATAATCACAATTAAATCAAGATGCTTCTAGCATCTTAGTCATACTCTAAAGTGCTAAATAGTAAATTGAAGCATACACAAAGAATGAATGAAACATAAAAATAATCAGTAGAAATTATAGTAAATATATAGAATAATTCATGACAAAAAGATTAAGAAATTCTGGAAAATGTATTCCACAAGGTGATGAACTAATGATATGTTACTGATCTGCTGATTAATATTTAAATATCTATTTTAGATATATATATCCTTTTATCATAACTTTAACAGTGAATTCTTTAGAATATAGATTTATTTATGTTTATTATGAGTATAGTTTCATTTTCAAGTAGGATATTTATGGATGTGATATTCAACTTGCAAGAAAACTTTATGCAAAATTAGTTAATAGATATAGATATTTTAATGAAATAAATTATGCATATATCTTGATACTGTTTTCGATTATTTCAATGATTAGAAATAAATATAGTTTTAAAACTCTATTTTATATGTTTCAAAATAGTTGTCCTTTCCTGCAATTTCTTGTATTATGCACTTTACCTAACAAGCATTTGTGAAATATAATTGCCTACAGAATTTAGCTTTACTATATGCAACTCTAAAAACCCACCTGATTGATTAGAAAGCAGTGGTGTTAGTAAAAAATTCCTTTTTCATCAAAACGGGCCATTCAAATTATATAGGCTCCACTGCTCGTACCCTACATCATAGTCTCTAAGAACACAAAAGACATATATATTATTTAAATGATCATCTAATCCCTAAGATCATAAGTATTCATAATTACGCTTTCTCCACAAATGGACTAAGTTTTCTGAAATGTAACTGTGTTAACTTATTTATCTAAAAGATCTTACTGACATCAAATTTTTTGTTTGAATTAAAACTTTTTTCATAAATCAATAAAAAATCATTTCCTAATTAGATGAAGAAAATTAATATTACTGTTAATTTTTCATTGCATATTAACATTTTAATCAAACAACAAATATATGCCCATATTCAATTAATATTTATGGCCCATATTCAATTAATTCTGATTATACTGTATATGAATTTGTGAAATTTTTAAACATATTCAATAAAATTTGAATAAAAGCAATTCTTTATAACTTTGTAAAATGCATTTTTAAAAACTGATTACATGAATTTAAATTTCTGGTTAAGTAATTAAAATAATTTGGAATATCAAACAGCATCAAGATCATCATATAAACATCAGTTATTGAGATTATTAGTAAGACAAAAGATATTTTAAAGATACATATTTATCAATCATACAGTTATATCCCTGATCATACAGTAAAACCTGTGTAAAATGGAAAAATATTCAGTATGATGCAATTCCAGTTTACACAGGGTTTTATTGCATTTTGTTAGAAAATCAATAGAAAAATTTTACATTTTACATAACATTTTTTCCAATATTTCCAGTAATTTAAAATTTATACACAAATTATGTTCTAACATTTTAATAAATGTATTTATTTTTTCTCAAGATTTGAAATAATCTATGTACTTGTAGCAATTAAAGAATAAATATTGCTAAAAGAAAGAATTTACAGAAAGACTAAAAAGCATATTTCATTTTATTTTTAACAGTAAAATATCAATAAGAAAGACTATTTGCTTGATATATTGATTTAGAAATGTATGAAGTTACAAACAAAAACTTATGTTTGTGTTACTGAATGTACCAATATTATCAATTTAATATTAATAAGCCAACTGTTTTAATATATTTATTATATTTTCTCTTTTCTCAGTTCTCTCTTTCATAAATTCATGAATTTCATTGAGTTTTTTAATTAACTTTTATACCAATGGAAGGAAAAATAATTAAACCTGCAAGGATCTATATTACAATATTACAAAAAAATCACTTTGAAACTTTTTGTTCTTTAAAACATCATAAATGTTATCTGAATTTAATTTACAGAAAATTTTAAAAAACTTAATTATAGAAAAAGTAAATTTAACATATTAAATAAAGTTAAATAAATTCCATGAAAACAGTTGTTNTATAGGCTAGATGGTTAAAACACCTCAAACAACCACAAAAGTTCCAAAATATATTTTCTCAGACATGTATATTATTCAGGCTATAATTATTTACTCTGATATCTTCTAATTTCAGTATCCATGAATATGCTTAATATTCAATTTAATTGTTATTATATATCTGATTTCAGTATTTAAAATTTTTCCAAAAGAACATCTGTCTTATAGCTTAAATAAATCATAATTTATTTCTCATCTAATTTAGGCTGTGCTGTAATTATATAAGGATACTACACAAGTATGTGAAGTTCTTTTAAATTCTCTTTATAAAAACTAATTAAAAATATAAGTTTGATTAAATGCCATTTGATATAGCTTTTCTTTTGATAAAAAGTAATCATATTCATTCTGAGTTAATCATTTTAAAAACAGACTAACTGTTCAACACCTGAGTTTTTTCAGTACTATTACATAAATTAAGTTTATGTGTTCATTAAACTAGATAAAAAAAAAGCCATTCTTAATGATCTGTATTTGATTTTAGTTTTTCATCCAGATATATTTGTTTAATGAATATTTTCAAGTACATTTTATTTATTATGTATGCAATGCACTACATGATGATTATTTAAGAAATGTAAATCTTAAATTTTATATACCACAATTATTGAAGAAAATTTTTTATAGCAACAAAAATATTTATTTTTACAGGGATTCTTAAAAAAATAAAATTCCTGTAAAAATGTTCTGTATTCCAAAAACTGAGCTATACAATATTGTAAAAACTTTCTACCTTGATGTTAACCCCAGCAGTGATGTAAGTTCATAAACACACACTACTATACTTTGACACATCCTATTGGTCAATTTTAGAATATTTTAATTTGAATTTACATGTAAGCTCTTCTGCATTTGACATATTAGAATATCAAAGAGCTGGGTATTCCATCTATTTGAAATTTGTGACCTGAAGTAGGTCTTAGAAGTAGAGAGAAAACATTTGTGTTTTTATGAACTTACATCACTGCTGGGTTAATATCAAGGTAGCGATTTTTATAATGTAAGAATTCTTGTTCATAAGTATTAAAAAATTATGTATGGTTAATAATTTATATGTGAAATAAATATTATTGTTCTAATTTGTTCATATTACTCAGAATGGATACAGTATGGGAAAATTTAGAGTTGTCATATTACATTATAAAATAACTAATTAAACAAACCAATACATTGCATTTGTAAGAACTTTAATTATATATACAGTGGAAAGTTGATAGGACCAGAAATAATTCAGAAACTCATTTATTTTTGTGTTTTGGATATAACATCAAGCACTGTGCACTTAAATACTGTAATGCAATTACTGTATTTTAAAGTAAATTAATTTACTGAAAATCTAAATAATGTTATGTATATGATCAATTTTTTCAGTGTGGTAATTGACAAATGACAGTAATTTCCAGTTACATGGAGAGTTTTGTCTCTGTATACTATATATACTCTGTGGTATGTACTGTACAATGTTACAAATTCTACTTTTTTGTTTTTTGATAACTGTTTTGAATAATCAAGAATGGAGAGTCCATTAAATTATATATATATATATATATATAACTGCAAACTTTTATACATATAAAGATACTGAAAAATTTAATATTTAAACAACAAAATTT